AGGAGAAGTGGGACCTCATAGCATTTGGTTTGTTTTAAGATCAACTAGCTAGGTGGCCCGCGCAATTACGCGGCTAGCACTTATACAAAATTATCTATTATTTAATATGAATTTACTAAAAAATTGTTAAATAGCTATTTTGTTGTATCAAGACTTTGAAAGGTCAAACCTTATCATCTACGTGTTTCTAATTTTATAGTTTTTAAAAGTCACGCTAGTTGCTACCCCTTATTTCTTAGGCACCCTTCGATGTACCACTTCCTCGATGTACCTTGTAGTTTTTAAAATTTATTGTCTCATCGGATTTCGTTTTTATAATTTTTAGAAGTCTCGTCCACTACCTCCTCTTTTTATTATCATTGGAATTTTCAAAATCGAACAAAATTATTGTTCGGGTTCATTTTTTTTACTTTCTAGAAGTTCCGCCAAACAGCCAGCGGCTTTGCCCCATACTTCTCTATGACCTGCCCGTTGCCTCCCCTCTTCATTGTCATTGGGATTTTAAAAATCAAATGCAATACCTTATAGTTTTAAAATTTATTGTCTCATCGGATTTCGTTTTTATAATTTTTAGAAGTCTCGTCCACTGCCTCCTCTCTTTTTATTGTCATTGGGATTTTCAAAATCGAACAAAATTATCGTTTGTGTTCATATTTTTACTTTCTAGAAGTCCCGCCAAACAGCCAGTGGCTTTGCCCCGTCCTTCTCTATGACCTGCCCATTGCCTCCCCTCTTCATTGTCATTGGGATTTTAAAAATCAAATGTAATTATGATTGGGGTTCATTTGGCTTTGCCCCATACTTCTCTATGACCTGCCCGCTGTCTGCCCTCTTCATTGTCATTGGGATTTTAAAAAACAAATGTAATACCTTGTAGTTTTTAAAATTTATTGTCTCATTGGATTTTATTTTTTTTTACTTTTTAGAAGTCTCGCCAACTGCTGTAATAGTGCTATTTAACGGCCCGCCCGTCCCTCATCTTAATCGTCGTTGGATTCTATTTGAGATTTTGTTTATAGTTTATAGATGACCCATCAACCGTCACCGCTCTACTTTTTTACGGACATGTTGTTTTCCCCTTTTTATTATCATTTATCATTGTTGTATTCTAGATGGATTTATTTTTGAAAATTCAATATTTTTCATTCCGATGTTTTGTTATTTATAAATTGTATCCTTACTTTAACTCTTATAATTATTTTATATTTTACGAATTTATTTTATTTTTATTTTGAATTTCAATTTATCTCGTGATGGGTTTTAGATGATCTTTTCTTTCAATAGTATTTATGTTTTATTTCGAAATTTGGTTATTTTTAAATTGTATTCCTAATTGAACTCTTATTTCATTTTTTCTAGGTTCTCAATATATGCTACTACTATGTGCTTAATTTGGTCTGGTCATAAGGTGCATGGTGCTGACGGTGGCCCAGTGGCTTGCATGTTATTGTATTTTATATAACTTTGTTTAGTTCAAAAAATTCAATTGTATTACATATATTAATATTTATGTTATCAATCTTCACCGTTATAATTTGGTTCTACCACAATCTAATGGCTTAGATTTTTTTTCTTCGATTAACATGATAACTTATAGTAGAAAAAATATAGGACGACTAAGCCGTTGTCTTAATAATAAAGATTTCAACTACTATGATGGTTTTCTAAGTTATCTTAATAATATAGATAGATAAAAAGGAATATCTAGCAAAGACGATTTACATATTTATTATTGGGATTATATTTTTATTCCAAATATTATTTTTATGTTTATTTTGGAATCTATATTTTTTAAAAAAAACTTTTTAATTGTATTTCTTAAGGAGTGCACCTAGCTTGCTGTCGTGCACATGCTATATATCGTGCCTTCTGGTTGCTGACGTGCATCACCGAGTCCGGCTCGTCGTGCAGCCGCACGGTTGACCCACTGATGCGGATTTCCGTCCCTCACTTCTAGTGTCTATCTTCAGATCAACAAAACACATCTAAAAATTGAGATCTACAGTGCTTTGTTGCTTGCTGCTTTTTATTTCTTGCCTAATTCATTTAGGTCCTAAATCTGGTTAGTTTAGGAAATCGTACAACTCTTTTGAGTCCGTTTGCATGTTGGTCCCAGTTATAGATTGATTCTAATTCAGCACATGTAGGGTGCTCCGTATCTCTTACTTAACATGTTAGATTTATGTTAAATCTCATACGTTAAAATACATACCTAACAATCTAACAGTGTAAATAATTCATATTTTCCCGATTAATGTGAGAATTTCTAGCCTCTACGGTGAACGTGGTGCCTTCTTTTAAGGTTGTTTTAATAATATAATAGATAGATAGATTTCATCTAACGATGTATAATATTGGACCCACCAATATAATATTGGACCCACCAATTTAAGTGAAAATCAAGGGGTATATGTTTTGCTTTTTTTCTTAGAATTTATAGGATTTTCTTTAATTTATTATAGCGCCACGTGACGACTTGAAAGTGTTTGTAGGAAGTTTAATGTACTTTTAGTATATATTTAGTATATAATAGATATATATATAGATAGCATTGTTAGTTGATGGACTTATGTAGCTACGTAGGCTTTGAATACAACCCAATCAACAAAACTAAAAGGGAGTAGCTATATTTATGGCGCCATATTTTTCACCAAAAGTTAGTCGGCATGTATTTACATTGTAAGTCAATAAATTACATATGTAATTTTAGGGTATTTACAATGTAAGTCCCAAAATTATATATGTAAGTACTAAAATTACATATGTAAGTCACAAAATTACATACTAATTACATATGTAAGTGGTGTGTAAATAGGGTGTAACTACTGTCTAAATATACTACTAATATATACTAATTACTATTTATACTTTAATTACATATGTGTTTCGCTGGTCGGTACAAATACTCGTACTTGATTGAGTGCATGCAGTGAAGAAAAAAATAGTAGCAAAATTCTCCAGTAGACCGCTAATTAGCGACCTATAACCTATGAAGCACAACTAGTTACGCGTAATTAAGTATGCTAGCACGAATCCTATGACTGATCCAACGGCTCAACAAGCGACTGTAATCAACCAGAAAATGTGTCACCAAAAATTTAGCAAAACCGAACTAAAATTAAAGGCATATATATATATATATATATATATATATATATATATATATATATATATATATATATCACGTGAGGTAATCCTAGCCCACAAAATTAAGATTAAAGGCATAATATCACTTGAAGACCTACGGTTAACGTGGGAGCTCTACGATATCACTACGGATGACGATGTGGATGAAAAAAAAAAGCTACGAAAATCAAAATCCGTCGTAAGTTTTTTTTTAAGAAAAAACATTCAAATGTAATTATAATACAATTATAATATAATTATACTATAACTACTGTTACTATAGTGTAACAACATGCAACTATGAGATAACTACACTTTAACTGTAATTTATATATTCATTGCTTGTAAGAGCAAGTATAATAGTAGGCTATAAGACTAAATGCTGAGGTGGAGGAGAGAAGAGAGGAGAGAGAGGAGAAGCGAGCTATAAACTTATAGCCGGCTTGGATATAAGAACAAAGAAACTCTGTGAAAGAGACAGGTGGGTCATATATTAATTGTAAAGAGCTAACTATTATATGGATGAGCTGAGAGAAAGTTACCAAAAACCTTATAGCCAATAAATCGGTTGTATTATTACCCTTACTCTAACCAAGAGAAAACTTTGATAGCTCGGTTGTGCATGGCATATGCGCGTGGTGTGAGCGGGAAGTTCTGGGTTCCTCTTCCCCACACGGCTAGCTAATTCTTTCTCAGCTCAGCACAAATCTTCAAGTGCATTGAATGGTTAAAAAAGTCGAAAGTTTTCAACCACAAAAACTGCCGCCAGTTTTTTTAGCAAAACGGTAGTAGTAGATAACGTGCACATCTTAAGGCCGAGGATAAGATATAACGGGTAGAGTTTATTTTTTTCTTTAGCAAAACCGTAATAGATATGCACCTGTTAAGGCCGAGGATAAGATATAACAGGTGGAGTTTTTTCAGCAAAACCGTAATAGATATGCACCTATTAAGGTAGAGGATAAGATATAATAGGTGGAGTTTTTTTCACCAAAACCGTAAAAGATATGAACTTGTTAAGGCCAAGGATAAGATACTCCCTCCGTCCCAAAATATAAATGTTTTAGGACTTCAACACAGTCTTTGAGATGCTACTTTGACCAACAATATCTATAAAAATAAAAAAAAATCAAATAAAAAGAGTTACATATTATGATAGCTTGATTATAAATCTAGTAAGATCAATTTTACACGATTGATCTTTTTTATTTTCTTGCTATTAGTAGTCAAAGTTAGAAATGATTGACTTGGCACTATTTCAAAAATGTTCATATTTTGGGACGGAGGGAGTATAACAGCTGGAGGAGTGCAGGTGAGTTGGTTTTGGTGCCATTCCGTTTCTCGTAAACTTGACTTATGTATATGCTGCTACATTTTTCGCTTTTGGACCACATAATCTCCTTGTAATCTTAATCGATCGCTCCTGTTTCTCATCAGAAGTAGCGAGAGGGCAAGATCCGGAGAAGTAATCAAGGACTACGGAAGTGATGGACGCCGTGGAAACGATCATCTCAACCGGGATCAACATCTATGAAGCGACCCAGCTGAGCGATGAACTGTCCCGCCTGCAGGCCACCTTGCCCAAGGCTCGCTTCCTCATCAATCGCGGCGAGTGGGGCAGGTTCAAGAACAAGGACATGGCGATCCTTCTGTCGCAGCTCAAGGACACCACCTACGACGCCGAGGATCTTCTCCGCGAGTTCGATGACCAGGCGCTGCGGCAAAAGATGGAGGACGCTGACCGGAGCTGGGCAGGTCAACTCTTATCTTCCTCTCTAAATCATGCAAAAACTTTGATCCGTGGTAGCAAAACAAGGATAAAGTAGGCCCAGGAGAAGCTCGACAAGGCTGTGGCTGATTTAGAGGGAGCGATCAATTCAGTGGGTCTTAGTATCGAGGCAGTTCAACACATGCCGGAGACAAGTTCAGTCATAGATGTGTCTCAAGTGTTTGGCCGTGATAAAGAACGAGATCTAGTGATTGAGAAGCTGGGTGTGCGTTCGATGATTGGACGTAATAGTCAACGAGATCAGGTGATTGAGTTACTGGGTGTGCCACTCACCAGGGGTGCTGCTGCACGGGCTAAAGAGAAGAGAGCAGCAGCCACTGTCACTGGCACGAAATCAGCATCCTGCAGAACGAAGAAACTGAAGGGAGAGAGCAGCAGGGCCCCTAGACTTGATGAGGCCAAATGCATCGGCAATGTTTCTGTCTTGCCGATTTTTAGCATTGGTGGGGTGGGGAAGTCTACCCTGGCTCAGTTCATCTACAATGATCCAAGGGTGCAAGCTCACTTTGGCAAGAGGAGGGTATGGGTCTGTGTTTCAGACCTCTTTGACAAGAGAAGAATAACAAAAGAGATCATTGAGTCTTTCACCAAGGAAGAGTATAAGCCACTGTTCAGTTTAGATGCTCTTCAGGTGGAAATGATGGAGCAGCTAGGGAGACGAAAGTTCCTTTTGGTGTTGGATGACATTTGGCAAGAAGCTATTGACGAGTGGGAGTCATTTTATGCACCATTCAAGAACGGACCTAAAGGCAGTATGATCTTAGTAACTACAAGATTTACAACTGTTGCTGATCGTGTTGCCACCAACAATTGTAAGCCTATCCAACTCGAAGGCTTGGATAGAGATATATTTTGGGAGTTCTTCAGCAAGTGTTCATTTGGAGAAGAGCGTCCAGAATCATATCCTCAATTGCAAGATATTGGTCACAACATTGCCTCTAGGTTATGTGGATCTCCTTTGGCTGCCAAAACTATTGGACGTTTGTTGAATATGGAGCTGACCGTGCAACATTGGGAGACAGTTCGGAACAGTGAATTGTGGGAGCTGCCACATCGAGAGAATGAGATATTACCGGCCCTCCAACTGAGCTACTTATATCTCCCACAAGAACTTAAGAGATGCTTTGCATTTTGCTGCATGTTTCCAAAAGATTACAGCTTTGAACGAGATGAGATCGTTGACATTTGGGTGGCCGAGGGCTTTGTTGTGTCAAGTGGAAGCACACGTCTTGAAGATATGGGGATTAGGTATTTGGATGATTTGAGGAGCAGGTTTCTTTTTCAAACCGACCCCAAGTATCCTAATCGAACTAGATAGGTCATGCATGACTTGATCCATGATATGGCGCAATCCGTTTCTGTGGATGAATGCCTCTTGATGCAAGATTTGAGGTCTCGGAATGAGAGGAGAATGCTATATGCAGTTCGCCATATGTCAGTCGAGGTCGCTGATGAATCCCTGAAGAGCGGAATGAGAGGCATTCAGGATTTGAACAAATTACATTCACTTAGGTTTGGAATCAATTTCAATGTTGAGATTACCTGGTTCAATCAGCTCTCCAACATCCTATATTTGAGCCTAAAGGGTTGCACGGTGGTCAAGCTACCTGAGAGCATAGGCGAGTTGAACAGTCTCCGTTATCTTGATATTTCTTATAGCGGTGTACAAGAATTGCCGGAGAAATTCTGGTGCCTTTACAGCCTATAGGTTGTTGATGCAAATGGTTCAAGTCTAAAAGCAATTAGTCCGGATGTCATAAAGCTAATCAACTTGCATCGTCTAGCATTGCCAACAGGTTGCTCTCCAAAGTTATCAGAGATAAGTAGGCTTGGAAATCTGTCTCGTCTACGGAACTTGCAATATTTTATAGTTGAAACAGGGGATGGGCGGAAAATTGGTGAGTTGAGGGGCATGAATCAGCTCAGTGTAGCTCTACTTATTAGTTCTATTTGTAATGTTAAGAACGAGGAAGAGGCCGCTGAGGCTAGCCTTGTTGAAAAACGGTACCTCCAGAATCTAGTTCTACAATGGCGAAAGAAAGTCACAAGTTTAGTGAAGAGTAGTGAGAATGGAGTGCTCGAAGCCTTGCATCCTCCACCAAGAATTGAACACCTTACAGTCCAAGGTTTTGGGGGTGATAGCTTTTCTCCTAGTTGGTTTAGACTAGAGAGCCTGCTGACTTTAAGGAGCCTGGTGCTTTTCCATTGTGGCGTCTTGAAAAATCTGTCAATCCCATCGTTTCCTTCCCTCGAACTTCTAATGCTATCAGGAAATATTTGGCTGAAAACAGTAACAATTCTTGGTGGTTCGACTGGTGGTGAAACGATGCAGCATGCAAGCAGCAGTAGCAGTAGCAGCAATGGCACAACATGTCTTAGTGGACTCACCTATATAGGTCTTTACAGTTGTGAGGACCTGCAGAATCTTGATCGGTGCTTGTCCCCGGAATACTTGCCATCCATCAAGTCCATAGAGATCGACAGCTCCAGCGATCTAGGACTGTCAATGCCTGTCGATAGTTTCGTGGGATTCAAATACCTACAAGATCTGAAAATCCACTGCAAATTGTTATGCCCGCAGGGAATGGTTTTGCCACCCTCACTCCGACGACTCTCTATTGTGTCTGGCCGTAAGGTTGACTTCCCGGCCTGCCTACAGAGCCTCACCTCTCTCAACATCCTGCATTTGTCTAGCTGCGATGGCATGGAGTCCATTCCGCTGGGCACAAATCTTTAGGTCAAATGCCTGCTTCTCGAGCGGTGCTCGGAGCTGTCATCCATTGGAGGATCACACGTTCTTTCATCCATGCAGTTCGTGAGCATATCGATCTGCCCAAAGCTGCACGAAGTAGAGCAGCCCTTTAAAAAGTGCCTGCTGACTAATAAGGACAAGAAGGAACTGCTTCAATTTACCTATCACTTATATGGATAAAGCATAGCTGATTTCTAAAGACTTCCGGGGTATTTTTCTTCACGCTGCGGCACCCAGAGCCTTCTGTTGATAATTGAGCGTTGGCTGGTTTGGGTGAGCCGTCGACGTGTGCCTTGAGATTGAAATGGCCGAGAAGAACAAAGAAAAGTTCACACCATGTAGAGAGTTGGAGGGTGAGCGGTGGATGTGGTTTTTGATGTTAGAAACGAGTGCGAAAGCGGGAGCAGGTCTGGGGTTAGCCATGGCGGGATCTGCCGAGGTGCATGAGCAGACTTTCTTCTGATACTATGAAGAGATTTTCTTCTGTTCAGCAGGTAGCCCGGTAACAAATCTCTGCCCTTCGTTCTATCCGATCAGACGATTGGCAAGGTGTGGTACCTCCAGATACATATTTGCCCATGAGGTGGTACCGGCAGTGTTGAGAGAGGTGGAAGGTGCTTGAATCCCCTCTGTCCGATGAGTGGTAACAGCGGTGGCTTGTCCATGGGCAACTGTGGCGGCGAGGTGGTGGCGGCCGTGGCGGTGAGGTGGTGTTGGCGGCGGCTGGTGCGTGAGCGGCCGTGGCAGCGAGGTGGTGGCGGCCGCGGTGTTGAGGTGGTCATGGAGTCGTTAGAGCTGGCGATGTTGTGGCAGCGGCGGGGGCTTTGGCGGCTGCAGTGACGAGGTGGTCGTGGAGCGAGGTGGTGGTGGCCGCGGTATCGTGGTAGTCATGGAGTCGTTGGAGCCGGTGATGTGGTGGCGGCGGTGGGGACTTTGGCAGCTGTCGGCGGCCACAGCGGCATAGTGGTGGTGCTCCAGTTGTCCTCTGAAGCTCTAGGACTTTTCGTTTGCTGTTGCTGCGATGCCGGTGATCAAGGATATTGCCGATGCGTAGTGGTATTACATAAGTTGTACGCTGAAGTGTGTTGATAGGTAAGTTTCATTCCAAGCATATGTCATTTTTTTAGTGGTAATTCAGTATAAATAAATTTTCTTTTAATTTAGTCATGCATGTCAATATAACAGTCCTGTTTTTTTAAGGAGGATGACACTCTGATTGGAGTAGATCTGGCATCCAAGAGTACAAAAGACATTCAAGCAGCTTTGGCACTTGCTGGAACATGTCAATCTGGGTACACTGGTGGAGAAACCATCTTTGGTCCGTCGGCCGAAATCCACAATAGTTCCGGTTCCACTAAAAACCGAGACTAAAGATGATCTTTAGTATGAAGCTAGAGCTGGAAATGGCGGACCGTTTTTAGACATGGAAATTTCACTCAAGAAGTTGTCCAAGCAGGAAAAGGAGACCAATGACATTAGAAATTGGTTCATAGGAATAATAGTTCTAGCTGTGCTCCTTCTCATGAAATTATTTGATAATATGTACTATGACTACCGTTGTTGATTTTCTGGATGTTAAAATGGAAAAAAATTTAGTCATATTGCTAGATGTTATTAGCTATGCTAAATCACAACATATTCCCCAACTTACAATATCAATATCAATTTTTAACTCAATGCATAAAGCTGTTCTTGATGTCCTCCTGATAACTTAGGTGTACTCCAGTTTGTCAGTTTGTTTCATGTTCTTGTCACAGGAAGCAACTAGGACAGTTGCTTGTGTGGAAACTGAATGACACTAATTTTTTGTGTAGTCTGTTCAATTTTTTGTGTTCAGTTCTTCTCACCATTAGAAATTAAATAACAATATGAATGCAAGTACCTAATGACAATATGAATGGCTGTGAACTTCTTTGAATGACTGAAAAGCAAATTGGCAGCAATGATAAATTAATGAATTCCAATGGAATTGCATGTTAATAAGTGCCCATCCATCTGAAAACACCTGCAGGAAAATATTTACATTTATGGAATTGCAGTCAGAAGATCTCATGTGAATAGGAAAATATTGACATAACTGAAAGTTTCAGATGCAAATCAGCAAATGTGTCACCATATGGCTCGTGACGCCATGATCCATGCTAAATGGCGAACCAGAAAATTCGATTTGCCTGGCACCAAATTCTCCAATCCCAATACCTACTCAACAGGTTAGCTTGCATCTGAGATCTGACCATCTACTGAAAGTCTGAAACTAATACTCCATCCAACACTAGTCCTCACTCCTCAGTCGCACCCAATACATTGCACTAGGTATTTAGCAAATGATATAGGCGGAAACATAAACAGAGGATAAACAATCAAACCCATAATATGCAAACAATAAGAGGACAAATAATTGAAACATATAGACTTAAGAAACAGCAGGTGCATCAAGTAAACAGATGCTGAAGCCTAAAGGTTCCCTGGCTACAGAAAGTGAAGTTGTGAATTCTTGCAGTGCATAACACAAGATTAAGTCAGGGCATACACAAAGCGCAGCTCATGAATGGTGTCATACGCTTAATGGCATTACATCACCCTGATGCCAGCTCGCACAATTTCAGAGTATTGACGAGTCTCGAAGAAATTGAATGCCAACAATCAAGCTCCAGGAAAGGTGAGACATGTCCGATGATGCCCCGTCGGCCCGTGCAGTTGCAGCGGAGAGGCGCACGTGGCTGCGACTGCCATCGACGGCCGGCTGCGTAGCCTCCGAGGATGTGGGCGACCATCCGCAGCCGCCGCACTACTCCACATCTGCCCTCCGCCTGCCGTCGTCGGCCGGCTGCATAGCGCCGGGGATGCGGACGGACTAATCCGAGCGCCGGTGAGGAAAAGAACAAAGGATAAGAGCGTCATTTTATAGCTTACTTATTTTTTACGGTTTTACTACGTGGGGAATGCTATAAAGTCTTATATTATAAAACAGAGGGAGTACTTGCATATTTTTTTTACGGTTTTTTAGGCTTAAAAACTTTCAAATTGTAGACTGTTAGATCACATCAAAATTCGTGCAGATCGGATAATAAAAATTGGCGCAAAGTGCACAGGAGCAAAGAATCAAACCTACAACCTCTCGTTTATGACTGAACGGAGCTAGCCGATTGGGCGCATTTGGTTTTCGTTTAGATACATACCAGTTACATATTAATTAAATATTTCCTCCGTATTTTAATGTACGGCCCTGTTGATTTTTTTAAGAAACGTTTGACCATTTGTTTTATTAAAAAATATGTAATTATTATTTATTTTATTCTGACTTGATTTATCATCAAATATTCTTTAAGCATTACATAAATAATTTTATATTTGCAAAAAACTTTTGAATAAAACGAATAGTTAAATGTTGATAAAAAGTCAATGCTGTCATACATTAAAATATGGAGGGAGTACTAGTTACATATTAGTTACAATAGTAGTAACTCACTGTAACTATATTGTAACTACATTGTAATTCAGGTATAATATATATATATAAATATATAATAATTACATACAGTAGCGCTAAGGGAAAATTTCATCTATACCTACCGCCACCGCCACCACTACCGCCATGTTTAGGGTTTTGGAGAGGGAGAGACGAGTGCATGAATGAAAGGGATAAGCCTGAGGGGTAATCCTGTCTATCGCGCTATTTCCCGTGCCGCCCCGTTCCGCTCCTGTTCTACTGTGGTATTGTTGGGAAGGTGGGAAGTTCTATGCTATTTTTTGGGTACCGCTCAAAAGTTTGTGGTATAGATGAAATTTTCCCTAGCGCTAATCCACGCGCTGCATACGGAATATTAGTTGGAGTGCCGCACAATGCTCCCTCCTTACGGTTTTCCGCTTTTTTACCACCACCTTTCCTCAATTTGTTTTTTTACCCCCACCTTTTTTGTTTCTTTTTTCTCTTTTACATCTTATCCGTGCTTGATCGAAGCGCCCGCTAAAAAATTAACCATCCAGATTTTTCCGTTTTTGGTTCCTTCTCTTCAGTTTTTCTGTTTTCGTGTTTTAGTAAAATATTTACCATCTAGTTTTTCTTACCGAGTTTTCTGTTTTTCTAGTATCTCCTCACATTTCAAAAGTAACGGATTTACTCTATGAAGTTTTCCATTTACTCCCAGCCTCCCACATCTACTCCTCCCAGCCTCCCACATCTGCTCCTTCAAAAGTAACAAATTTACTCGCATGAATGCCCCATTCAAAAGTAACAAATTTACTTGCATGAATGCCCCCACATCATATGGCACCATTCCTAGATGGTGGTAAAAGAACTACTACCGGCTTACAACGCTATTAATTTTTTTTACTAGTGTTGTAAATATTGTTTCAATTTCGTGGTCTGCGAGTAAAAGAATTACCACATTCCTCTCGATATAGCCCATGATCTCGTAGCAATCGTGTAGTAATATGTTTACTAATGTGTTCAATACACAGTATAAGAGCAAAAACTGATACTAACAGTATTGTTAATTTGTATCACAAAATAGCCATATGAATAAAAAAATTACAGGCTTAACCACACACTACAAAAGAAAAAAAATGATTCAGCGAAAAATCCATCACGAAAATAGGATCCTGGTGGTTTTGCTAATGGAGAGGCTAGTCTGTGTCTTGTGACGGGTAGTGGAGAGGGTAACCGGGTGGCGAGCGGTAGTTTGACGATGGAATCATGGAAGGGTGTAGCGGTGTGGTATAGAGATGGGCTCGACGTTGCGCAGTAGCAGCCATCCATCATCTAGCAAGCACGAAAAAAATGTAAGAACATTTTCGTTCATGTCATAGAGATGACAAGCAAAAGAAAAATAGCAAACAACATCCATCACCGGCAAAAGAAAAATAGCAAACAACATCCATCACCGGCGGACTCCACCCTATCCTCTGCGGTCAGCCACATGGAGCACGATGTGCAAATGTAGGACCTGTGCGGCCCATCAATTCAGATCAAGTAATATTGGAGATTGCACGTTAATTTGATTTCTTTGAGAATATTCTTCATTCCTTGGTTTCTTGGAGACAATCCCTCAAGGGTGATCTCCTTCTTTTGTTATTTAGATTGAATGAGGGTGATAAAGATGTAGTCTTAAACTGGATTAGGTTGTTGTAATCTTTTTTTTCAATTATCAATTTAGATTTTTTTTTAACAGGGGCTTCCCTTTCTATGTTCCTTTCAGAAAAAAAAAAGAGAAGATTTTGCGAGGCATGCATGTGCCACCGGGAAATTGATCACAAGACCATCCGTATGGAAAATGAAGGATGAAATCCCTGCATTCTTAGCACGAATACAGTGGGCATATGTGGCCCTATACAGCACCTATAAAGGCCGTTTAGATACTTCATGGTGCTCATTGATGCTTCCTCAAAATGGTCGCACGTGTGCCTGCTATCAAAACGAAACCATGACTTTGCAAAATTGATCTAGCAGATCATCCAAATTAAGAATAATTTTCTTGATCATCATGTGCAGTCCATTCAAATGGACAATGCTGCGAATTTATTTCAAAAGCATTTCATGAATATTTCATGGCAATGGGAATCAAAGCAGAGCACTCGATATGTCACGTCCATACGCAAAATGGACTTGCAGAAGCGTTGATTAAAAGAATTAAATTCATCACCAAGCCACTCTTGCAAGGTTGTAAATTGCCAAGCACGTGTTGGGGACATGCAGCCCTACACGTGGTAAATCTTATTAATTTCAGATCATCGGCCTACAACATCCATTCAAAAATGAAACTGGTGCAAGGGGTCACACCGAAATTGTCCCATCTGTTCAAATTTGGATGCCTAGTCTATATACCTATCCTACCACCTCAACGAACAGCAATGGGTCCACTCGGAAAGATTGGGATATACGTTGGTTATGAGACTGCATATATAACTAAGTATTTGGAACCCATGACGGGCGACACGCATACAGTCCATTTAGCTGACTGCATCTTCGATGAGGATCATTTCCCCTTTTTATGGGGAGGAAATCAACCCTTGGATGAGAAAATTTGGAAATCACATGGCCAGACATGGGGATCCATGCGCATGATCCACGCACCAATGAAGCAAATGGAGAGGTACTAAAAATAATTGATTTGCAAAGTTTAGTGAATCAACTGCCTAACCATTTTTGTAATTTGAATAGCGTAACCAAGTCGCATGTGCATGCACGCAATGCACCGGAGAGATTGAAATACCAAAGGAAATTGGTAACCCTCATCCAGTCTGGAGGCCTCAGAACAAAAGGACAAGAACTCCAGTCTCTCGATCCTCAAGTATCAAGAAACGTCTAGAGAAAAGGGGGACAGGGGGCTTGGTACAGCCAATTGCAAAAATATCCAAAGAAAAAAGAGGAGCCAGCGGAGATCTGGCACTAGTATGGAACCTATGAAAAGAGGCATACCAGACCTAAGGGCCCCTTTGAATCGCAGGAATGAGAAAACATAGGAATAGGAAAAACGTAGGTTTTTGATAGGAATGTAAGTGTAAAATAGATGATTGCAAAACACAGGAAAAACACAGGAATAGTCGTTTAATTGAACCGCAGGAAAAACGCAGGAATTAGAGGAGAGATAAAGACTTAAAGGAAAGTTTCCAAGAGGTTTTACCTCATGTTAGAATTCCTCCAAAATTTACATGGCATTAGGCAATCCATAGGAATT